AAAGTCTATCTAAATACCAGGTTATTCCCCAAATGCATGTTTAAGGCAGAGGTATGAGCAAAAGAGACAAGGGAACATGGCAAGATAGCTAAGCTGCACTAAATTTTTCAATCGATAAGGCTGTCATGTGCACTTTGCTCTCCTCAGTGACGATGGAAGCAGAAAAATGTGCTCTAAAGCCATTAAAACCTCCTGAAAAGCACATCTAGACTTTGTAAGATGTATGAGATATTATGCCTTTGCACAATTCACTTATTTAGCAAAACTTCAAGACTTTAAATCATCCTATAAAGGCTTTACAAAGTAGTAATGTACATCTTTGAGATGTATTTATCATATCTCACTGAAAGTGTTGTGATACTGTCATTATAAGTAACTTCTACGTAGAATGCAAGAACAGATTATATAAATATGCATTTTCCCCCAATATTTTCCATGGTTATGCAAGTCAAAAGCAGCTAAGTTCTCTGATGACACAAATAAGAACAAAGCATATCAGCATCACTTTATCCACTTAGAGTCAGAAAATTTGGGCCAGATATTTCTGAAGCAGAATCTGACATAAGTGACTAAGTAGCATTCATACTTTTCTTACTCTAAAACTTTTAAATATTGACATCAATCTAGTAAGATGAAAGCCTTCAGATTCTATTCAGGATTTGAACCAAGAGCTCCTGCACTGTTAGGTGGTACCATGTATATGGCCCTCTTTTATGGCCCAGCCTGACCCAAGAGCTCTTCCTCCAGGCTCCTTGCTGTTAGAATGCTGACTTCCCATCTGACTGTCCATGCTCTTGGGAACAGAAATACTAGAAACTACTTTTAATATTTGCTTAAACTTCTTCAAGGTGACAAGATTGTTGAAATGGTCCTAGCAGCTTCTTCCTGAGAGTATTGTTATACAGCAACATGTTCTTCAAAGATGGCAACTTATGGCACATTGCTTCAGAGAAACACTCTTTTTCATAGAAGCTATTTTCACTGTCTAAATGCAACTTGAAGAGGATCTGCTATGCTCTTTCAGCAAGGAACATTCTTAATATTTTGTCCTTAGGTCTAGCCTTAAGAACATGGTTTGGAGGGCATAGAAAATGAAGGAAACAGTAGCACTAATTGCCTCAATCTTTGAGGACTTCAACCTTAACTTTTGCTTAGATTTCCCTGCTGTTGCTGCCACCCTAAAACATAACTCTAACATAGCATCCGAAGAGTAAGAAGTGCTCTTACATCTGAGGTCAAATTTTCTGGTTGCTGAACTACATGGATACAGGACACATCAGATCCTAGGAAGAAAACACCAGCTACCCCAAATCAGAAACATCTAGCTGAGCAATACCAGGATATTCTTACCTCCAAAGACCCCAAAAAAACCCAAGAGCAGAAGCAACAGTGCCTCTGTGTATTACACAACAGTTCCTGACAAGATTACTGAGCTTACAAGGGAAAGCACCAATCAGAGCCACCCCACTCCTAAAGAAAGGAAGAGCACACCAATTAAGTCTGAGGCAGGAGTGACCAGAAATGAGGGGCTTATCTTGAGTTACTGGCATATACTGGCTTGTAATAGTAGTTGCTTGCTCTCTCTCTCTCTCCTTTTCAATTATGCTTCTCCTATCCCAGTAGCAATTTGTTCTCTTATTCTTTCTGTCCTCTACAAGTAGGTCAAAAAGCTTGGATCCAGCATTTGATCACGGATGACATCTTTTTAAACACCATGCTAAACAACCATGGACCTCCTGTAGCCAGGTGCTCTTTGTGAAGGAAAAGCATTTCAGCAACTTTCCCAAGACCTCATACCCATTAACCACATCCCAGTACCTCAGAACTTATTATATTATTGCCTTGATGTTTATGACAGACATTTGTTTCCTGAACCTGATTTCATTAGAATTATACAGTGCTACAAATTACCAGTTTAAAAACCAGGGTATCAAATCAGACGGTTGAGAATTTTCTCACCCACTAAAAGAGTGATTTGCAAAATAGTTTAACAGGAAACAAAGTGGCAGCAAGCCATCTGTTCTAACCTCTATGTTAAAGTTAACAGCTATTTTGGATTTCAACAAAGGAAGTCACCTAAAGCTATTAACATTGTGGTGGTTTTTTTTCCCCCCCAGGGAATCGAAGCACCCACTATTTTTATTAAATGGAAAAGGAACAACAGGAAGTGGAGATCCCTGAAGAAGAGGCAGAAAACAAAAAACCTGGGACAGAAACAGCACTGTGCTGCATAGCTATGCCAGTCACTTATCTCCTGGCACAGAAGATAAGCCAGACCTTTCCCAGTTTGTCAGAACCTGCCCACAAGCAAGGCAGCATCACCCCACACAGGTGCAGTGACTGACTGCAAACTGAGGACATACTCAACCATCTAACACACTGCCAGCAGCTTCCAGCACATCTGGGTCTTGAGTGTATTTCTGGGATGAAGTATCAGTTAGCCTGTCTGTGCTCAAGATTAATTCTAGGGATGGATGCAATGCTTTTTAAAGACCTAAGTTTAATATTCAGGCTGGGAAGGCAAAAGCAGTAGTAAGCAATCTATTAAAAGGAAAAAGGGAAGTGATAGTATTTTCTACTTGTAGTTAAAAAGACCACAAGCTTTACAAGTGGCTCTTTATTTTTTCTATTGGGAGCTTTAGCTCACTCAATAACTAACTCAAACTTTTTTCTCCTCCACACAATCTCTTTCATGAAGGGGCAGTCTCCCAAACCAAAGAGCTTGACACTAGGTTTGACCCTGGTCTGATTTGAGAATTTATCTCCAGCATCAATGAAGCTGAAGTCTCATGAGATATTTGTCTCCTGGCATGAGATGATGTCAAGTACTTGCCCTAAGCAAACCTTGAGATTTTGACCAAAAGGCCATGCTCTAAACTCTAAAGTTTTGGTGCTAACCAAAGGTAATTTTTATCTTGGTCTCATGTAAACTTATTCCTTTTAATATCAGAACCTAGAAAGAAATGATCTTACATCCAACACATTTCAACTGAGAATACAGTTTTCTTGGTGCTCTAACCCTGTATTTCTTGCTTGTATTGCATAAGGGGCTGAAAGACATCCTGTCACTGCAAGGCACCTCAGTGGAGACCTTTTCCTCAACAAGTATAGATACAAACTTTTGTGTCAGAATGGTGTCCAATGAAGCAACAACGGTGCCAGCACAAGTACATTCAGCATGACTCTGATGATGGTATCTGCAAGGCCTAAAGCCAGTCAATGTACAAAGTAGATTTATAAGATCCCAGTTATATACAATGCAGTAGTTTCCACAAGTTGGAATTTGAGTAGTCAAAAATAAAAATATCACAGATAGTTCATGTTTCCCACATATCCAAGCATGACACTACCTGAACTTCTGCCAAACCAAATCACCATTCAATGAAGAGCATGCAGCATCTATCATCATCATCACAATCAACACAACTAAAGGGCAGAAGAAACCTTTTCTGCGTCTATTAGTGGGAGGAAATATTTACAGCAATATCTATACACCTTCCTCAAGGGACATCTTCATTGTTCCTGTCAACCATAAATCTGACTCCTTCAGTTCAAAGGAAATATGAATTCCTGAATTAACAGGTCATCCAATTCCTTTCCAAACCAGTATTAAACCACTAATCCCAGTTTTGCCTGTGTTAAAAAGGATATTACTATAAAGCAATGATATGAAGGAATAAGCCATCAAAGGCAGATAAACTAAATGATAATCAATGCTGAAATATCATCACATCATGAAGCTTATAGTCCAGAATGTCATCCTAGGTATGCTTATGAATAAGAACCTTCAATAGAACTCAGGAGTTTTTTTACAGAGGCACATAACAGTGATTTTTTAAAGCATTTTACAAGGTTCAGCTATTTACAGAGGCAAACACAGCTCCTATTTGCACATTTGTCAGAAGCACAACTGAACTTTCTCTGGGCTCCAGTGCTAGCTCCACCTTCCTCCCGAACCATCCAAAGCTGCTTCCTCAGATAGGTTCCTGCCTACCTCACAGCACAAATTTCAGCACACTACACTGAGTGCAGCAGCACTCTTTGGCATTTACTTTTAACAGCCAAATGAAGGAATTAAACACTACTGAAAAAAAGAAAAGACAAGCAACCTTAGCACAGGCAATCACCCTATCCTCTTCTGAGATGCACATGTTGAATTTCACATCCCAGCTTTTCATAACCATTTCATAACCATTCATTACCCTGTTCTTGCAATGCCTTGCTACATGGTCAACTTGGCTGCCGAGGCCTGCAGATCTATTATATATGTTATAATGGCTCCCTCGGCAAACCAGGGTTCTAAGTTGCCACACAAGCCACTCCACGGAGATCTCCGTGCCGTGCACTGCTGCTGTAGGTCGCGCTGTGTCATTTCACCACTCTCTTGGTATTTCCTCTGGCCAAAAGCCACGCAAGGAGGGTTAAGTTTAGGGACGGCTGCATAGAAAACCTTGCAGCCAGGGGGAATCCCAGTCCCAATCCCAGAGCCCTAGTGCACAGCGCAGGGCAGGTGACCCGCGGCTTTCCCCAGCCGTGAGTGGGGACGAGGAGCCAGCCGCACACCGGAGCGGAGCCACGGCGAGGCCCGGACACCCACCCTGCTCGGGGCAGCGCCTGTCCTCATCCCGCGGGGCGCCCTGCGCTGCCGGCGCTCGGGGCACGGCCACAGCCCGCCGGGAGGGGATGCCTGTGACTAAGCACACGCGGCCTCTCCTCTCCCTCCCGCTCACCGCCTCGGCCGGGCTCTCCAGCACCGGCGCGCCCGGCCCCGGGCACCAGCGGCCGAACAGCGGGGCCGCTCCCGGGAAGGGGCCAGGCAGGCAGGGGGCACCGGCCGTGCTTCCCCCGCGAGGCCCGGTGCCGGGCAGCAGCCCAAGCAGCAGCCGGGCCCGTGTACGGGTTTCTCTCCCGTGGCTGCGTCGCTCCGCGCACCCCCCGCTGCATCCCCACGGCCGCCCGGGCCCGCCGCCCCCGGCCCCGGCAGTCCGCTCTCCTCGTACCGCTGCCATCCTTGAAATGAGGGGGTGGGACGTCTCGCAGCGACCGCGTCCATCCCCCCCTCTCGGCTTCCTCCTCCTCCTCCTCCTCCATAGGGCCGGGGCCGCCCGGGACGGCGCTGCCGCCGCAGACCTGCCGCTGCCGCCGCCGCTCCGCCGGGGTGGCCGCCGCCCGGGGAGCGCGGCGCCGGGCCGCCCTGCTCCGCGGGCTCGACACCGCCAGGCGCCCCTGGTCTTCCTCGTCGTCGTCCTCGTCCTGGGAAGAGGCGGCGGAGCGGGAGTCGGCCGAGGTGCTGTAGAAGGGGTTCCCGCTGCTGTCCTGGCCCGACTCCCCGAAGACGTCGTCGGAGATCTGCAGGCTCTCGTAGCGGGATCGGGCCGCCTCCAGCAGCGATAGCGCCTTCCTGCGCGCCGGCCCGCCGCCGCCCTCCGCCATCATCTCGGCCGCCGCCAGCAGCCGCCCGCGCTCCCCTCGGCCCGGCTCGGCCGGGTCCTGCGGCCGCAGGCAGCAGCCCAGCAGCAGGAGCGGCTCGGGCACGGCGGCGGGCAGGCAGCGAGTAGGGGAAGCCTCACCGCCGCCGCCACCGGGGCTGAGCCCTGCCTCCCGCTCCCGCCCGCACCACCCGCCCCTGTGTGTGTGCAGGGACATGGGGGGAAGGAGCCAGCTCAACATCTCCAAGTACCACATCCAGCCAATTGCCGCGGCACTCCGCGCTCGGGAGGTGGGGTTATATGGGCGCTGCGGGCCAGCGCGGGCCGCCCCCCGCCCGCCCCCCGCCCGCCTCCGCTCCGCCCATTTAAAACCACAGCGCCGGCTGCCGCGGGACCGTCGCTGCGCCCCGACGCCGGGAGGGGGTCTCTAAGCCCAGCGCCGCTCCAGCTCCCCGTCCTGGCCCCGATCCTGGCTCTTGGTGCCGGCCCCCATCCCGCCTCTGGTCCCGGCCCCCGATCCCGGCCCCCGATCCCGGCCGGAGCTGTTCGCCGCCGCGGTGCTGAAGCGGCGCAGGATAGAGGCAGGAGCGCTGGCCTCGGTGCCTGCGGGTCCCTCAGTAGCGCCCGCCGTGCGGGGACACGGAGAAAGGCTCCGAGAGAGCTGGAGAAGAGCGCCGAGGTGTTAACCCGCTGGGTACGAGCCCCGACAGCCTGGCCGGGGCCACACAGCTCGCCATGCAGGGCAGCGTGAGCTTGACCTTCATGTCGCTGGCCCAAAGCAGGACACAGAGCTCCAGCGCTGGGGCAGCCCGTGAAGGAAAGTGGGGAAGGTGCTGGAGCGCGGGCTGTGAGACACCTGGCACCTGGCCAGCCCTGCCACCCGGCTGGGGCTCCGTGCAGACTTTGACTGGCCTTGGGGACACACACATGCCTGTCCAGCTCTCTGCCGGTGTCGGGCTCAGTGCCTCCAGTGCATCCTTTGGTTTCTCAAGTGAGCACAGAGCGAAGTAACCATTCTTCCAAAATCACCACCGATTAAAAAGCAATATCATGGCACAAGAAAAACGAGAGAAGTGAAAACACTCGTGCCCTGACTGGGTTAGTTAAACATCATTCTGAAACATCCCTGGAGTAATCTAAGGATTTTGTACAGCAGCTTATGCCCCTGGTTGTGCAGCAGTCAGAATGGTCTCTCTGATGTTACAGGAATGTTTGAAATCCCTGATCAAGGTTTATTATTTGCTATTGGGCATCCCACTGTGCTGGTTACTGTACAAACACTTATTAGGATGACAGTCCTTGTCAACAGCAATAGCAGCTATTGAGCCTACCCTTTCACAGCACTGCTTTCAAAATATAAACAGTAATCAGATTCAGGGGGGTGGAGGGTTTTTGTGCAGCTTATTATTTGCAATTTTTGATGCAAAATTTCAGTGCAGGTTGGTCTGAAGATCTGTTAGTGCTGCAGATTTAACAAATTTTGTAATACTGAATGTTTCTGTCTTTAGGAAAGGAAGATTAATGACCTTCTGATGATTCTCAAGGATTCTAGCACAACATGAAAAATTATAAAAGCTGGAATGTGTAGGTATTTAAAAGACCAACCTTATGTTCTCTTCAGATATTTTAAAGTTGCAATAGCTTCATTAAAACTTTAAAGTTCTATATAATGTATACAGGCAAATCCAGAGAAAAAAATCCATCTTCTGCCTCCTTAGGTAAAGAGGAAGGCCCAGTGTATTTTGAGGGAAGAGATTTAAGTTGCATTTCTACTTTCAAAAATGTCAAAACTTTCTTACTGATTATATTAAAAAAATATGCAAGTTTATATACAAACTTTTTTTAATTGCAAACTCAGCCAACTTAGGCTGTGACTTGAGCATTGCACTGTCTTCATTTCATCTCACTGGTCACCAGAAATCATAGCTCTGTAGGCCAAGCTATCTTTTAATTGATCCATGCCACCCTGTGTCTTCAGAATACTGTGATGGGAAGGCATGATTGGATATCATAAGAATCTTTCTTGCTGGTAATGATGAGTGACTATCTTGAACCTCATGAATCCTCTTTGCTTGGTTGGCATGTAGAAAGCCAGAGACTCTTCTTCACAAATTTTGTCTGTTTTATAGCTGTTCTCACAAAACAAAAAAATTAGGAATGGCCTTTGTTGAACTTCTCACACAATGGTTTTTAAGACTGAAAAAAGCCACTTTAAATATGTTGACATGTTCTTTGTAGTAGGGACATTGAAAGAAACTTTTGATTTTTACAAGAATGGAGGTGTCCATTTAGGTGATGTAGAATTCACCTTGGCATCCAGGTTCTATGGAAGTGTCCATGGATGGACACCATCCATGTCTCAAATGTCAAATGTCTTCAGATCTGCTGATTCTTTTTTGTGAAACACAACAGCTGGAAGGACTGCTCCAAAGCCCAGGACAGAAAGAGAAGGTTTTTCAGAATGGGCTGCCAGTAAAAGAACAGATGGGAACTGTCCAGAGACCAAAGAAACCCACACAGCCCTCTCTAGCTGCTGGTTGCAGCAAGGACAATGTCTCCCAACTCATGCATGCTTTGTGCCAAAAACAGGCTTCCATCCCAGCTGCCTGATGCACACTGCCAGAACCTTCCCACCTCATGGCCAAAACTTCAATTTTCATTTTTTAAGAGAGTGATGTACACAAGAGCTCTGGGAGGAGACCACTGCATTGATGGAGAGAGGTGGGACTAACTCTTTAATCTACCAATCCAACATGACATTTTAATGATGGAGTCTGCTGCCATGCAAACACATGCAGGTTTTGTTGATGGAAATTTCCCCTCTTTCAGCATAGCCTATACAATGACAAGTCCCTCTTCTGCCTGTCCCACAAGCAGAGAAACTGCTTTAGTCTCTCATGCATGCATGGGAAGATTACTTTTCTCAGGCAGGACTATAAAGGCTCCCACACAGGGCTGCATGCCTAAGGTTTTGGCTTGCCTTATGGTCTAAGACATCTTTTCATATGTACCCCTCTGAAAATCCACAGAAGCTGCTGATTGGATTACTGTAACCCAAAATGAGTATTCTGGATCGTGAAAATTGCCATGTATGACATGTTGTAGTCATTTGATCCCAAATGATTGCAGAGGCACAGAGATATGATGGATGATTCTAAAAATGGTTACATAAGTCCACTGGGTATTTATGAACAGTCAAGAAAACCATCACCAGGGGTGGTTTGCAGTTGAAAGATCTAATTATATAAACCTAATGGAACGTTATAAACATAGCTGTGCTTTCTCCCGAATCACTTAAACTTGTGTTTAGCTGCTAGAAAACACTACTGGAGTAAATGGACTTTTGTAGCCATGGCAACCTGTGGATCCACTTTTAATTTGTCTACAGAGAAAATGTTTGGTGTTATTTTCCTTGAAGTTTTCTGGTTTTATTGCAACAGCAAAGACTCCTTCTGCACACTCCTTCTGACCCTGACAATCTTCATGGTTAAGACTATGATAGTGGGAAATCTTGTGTTTCTCAGTTCTCAGTAACTTATTTTTCATAGTTAACTCTTTGAGGAAGGATCTTGTGCCATCTTTCACCGTATTTACACTCTCAAACCATGGCCTAGATCCAAAAGAATATTGACATTTCTATCTCCTACCCAAGCTTCCTCACTTCCTACTGATTTCACCAAGCCCTTGTGTGTGCCTGGTCCTTTCATAACACAAATACACCAAGATGGAATAATATATAATCAGATTACAAACTTTTTCTTTTTTAATCCCTTGTTCTGAAAGTGCAGCCTTTAATCTGAATTTCAAACTGTCTTCCATCTCAACACCCACTAAAAGGAGTCTGTAGAGTCAGAGTCGAGTTGCTTAACCAGGGTGAGGCCAATAGGCTTCAGTTCCCTCTTCCGTTATTGCATGGCCTCAGAGGAACAGAAAAACTTGGGGAAAAAGCTACATCAAGACTGAAAACAATAATGAATTGGAGCCAGTGGATTGTTTCCTCCCAGCCCCTGAGAAGAGGATAGGGAGGGAATGTCCCATCCCTGGCAGAGATCATGGATTAGTCTGGTTCTCAAGTACACGGCCATTTGGTGTCCCTACTTTGCAGGGAAGAAATCTCTATGACCACAGCCTGTCCTGTTACAGTGCTCTGCACACTCTCCACAAAGGCTTCTGTTCCGTGTCTTGCTGCATGGCACAGGGAAAAGCAGCTCAACAGGGATTGATCTGCCACTGTCCTGCCCTGCGAAATCCACTGCTCCATGCAGGCTGTTGTGGAGCTCTTTCTCATCCACCCTGCAACTCTCCTGTTGGAAGCAACACTGATAATACATGTGGGTTGTGTTTTTTTTCTTTTAGATTCATTAAGTATTTACAGCACATGGCATGATGAATACAATAAAATGCTTGTCTAAGTATTTCTTTTTTGCTTTCTGTTTTCCGATTGCTTTGTGTTGTTTGAACCCTGTATTTCTTGGATTGATGTTTAACATTTCCCAAGTATGGCGTTGACCCAAATAAAGGAATACAGGAATAAAGCAAGCTGCTGTTTTCACATGAGAGAAATGGAACAAATATGTTTTGTTCTTATAGTATGAGAGGGAGAGATGATTTTTGACTCTTCTAATACTGAAGCAAAAGTGCACTGAAATTTAAAATTTAGGAGAGAAATTTCAGTGCTTCAGTGATGAAAAAAATTTGATTTTGAGATTAAAAGCCTTTGGAAACCACATTTTTGTGCATGCCCAGTATATTTTTAGCAAAAGCTGTACTATGAACAGGACTCACCTAAGCTCCAAAGGGATAGATAAGGTGTGTGGTTCATGCATGCATGGAAAATCAGCAGTTTAATCAATAATTTATGGACGGTCCATAGGGTGTTCTGCAATGGTCTGCAAAAACCCTTCCTTCCTCTGTGGTGGGGGTGTGGGAGAAGCTAAATGTAGTAGGCCAGAGCAGAGCAGTGCTGTCACTCAAAAATCAGAGTGCTGTAGGGCTACACCTGCT